GCGTGTACAAGAATATGATTTCGTTAATTCTACTTGTTTTGAAGAAGTGTGTACTCAGTTTTTCACTTAATTGAAATTGCACGAAAACTTTGTTCATAAAAAAGGGTACTTCTGCATGACCATTTTTCAACATTCAAATTTGGTGATAAACGAAGCAGTGCTTGATTAAAGTAAGTTAGTTGTCTTTAAAATGGATTTTATGCAAAATGAGAACAGCATTGAACTTCCAAGATCAATGTAAAACCAGCAGATATGAATATATGTAGATTTGGTACCATGGCATTGCAAAAGGTATGCCTAAAAAGCCAACTGGCGTAATCTCTCAAAAACGTGAAGAGGAGTTATAAAACTGATGATAAAAACAGTCCTGGTCAACAAATATTGAAAGATGGCTAAGGTAGGCTTAACTTGTCTTCCCAATCTCAGCGGGTTAATCTTATCTACAGTACAATAATCACAACAGAATTAACAAATGTAAGAAGGTTTAATCATTAAAATTAATAAGCTTTCATTTGTTATCATGATATTGCACTATAGATGTGTATATTGTAGGGACTATTACAAGAATCTTCTAAACAGGCTGAGATTTAAGAATCTGTCGAATGTTATGTTATGTTATGTTATGTTATGTTATGTTATGTTATGTTATGTTATGTTATGTTATGTTATGTTATGTTATGTTATGTTATGTTATGTTATGTTATGTTATGTTATGTTATGTTATTTTATGTTATGTTATGTTATGTTATGTTATGTTATGTTATGTTATGTTATGTTATGTTATGTTATGTTATGTTATGTTATGTTATGTTTTGTTATGTTATGTTATGTTATGTTATGTTATGTTATGTTATGTTATGTTATGTTATGTTATGTTATGTTATGTTATGTTATGTTATGTTATGTTATGTTATGTTATGTTATGTTATGTTACATCCCCCTAAAATTGTAACGCGTCAATTTTTTTAAAGAAATGCGTGAAAAGAGAGCAGTAAATGATGATCCATTCTCATTTAATATTACCCTTTTTTATATTCTTTTACAGGAAGGAAATACTTGTGAAAGTGCCGTTTTGGATTCTAGATAGAAGTCTATCTATTGCATAGTTTTAAGATGAAGCAGAATCAGTCATTTGTAAATCTGAATAAACACGGAGAAAGCAAAAAATCAGTAAACACATCAGAACGCAGTGGTCACAAAAAAATCCACTTTTCAACATTTAAAAGAACTTGTGAAGAATTTTGGTGTTTTTCCTAAAAAATCCCATCATTGCTTAAATTTTCAGTAGGCTTTTACACATCAGATTTAACGTGCAGAAATCACGGAACAATTAGACGCAAAAAATGCATTCAAAACTTTTCTACTCTGTTTTCACAATTTATAGGAGCTTGAGGAGATGTCCCCCTTGAGGTGACTTATAAAATAGCAACTTTACTTATTGTAACACATGGAACAATGAATATTACTAGGAATGAAAAATGGTCACTACTTTGTGTATCTAGGATTTCTTTTGTCTAAAGATCGATAGAATACTTTGTAGTTCTTTCTACAAAAATGGTAACATTTACTTACCAAAACGTATTGTCTGTATTGATATCAAAACTTGTTCTTATGTGATGGAAGGGCATGGCAAGTAAAGCATTCTTATCGCCTTCTACAGTTGCTCAAGTTCTTTAATCACCTATAAAGCAATACATGGTGTAATAATAAACTTTACATATTCTGATATTGTGCATTATGCATACATTGAACAAAACGTTGTTCCTTACTTTTAGTAAACGTTACATGTTTTTACTTCAAGACTAGACGCTTATTCAAGAGGGGGCCTATTCAAGGGGGCGCTTAATCGGGAATTTATTGAAGAGAAAATGTCATATCTCGATCATCTCTTTGATTCTGTGTAGTTTTAGGAGCGGTACATTAGAAATTGGCTGGCTAAAGAAAATGCCAAGCTACTAAAGCTTTGTGCTGATTAGCGAGGATCATCAGTCTTGTCACCAGGCCTCGTTTAGAAGACGAGGCTGGCATGCAACGAGCAGGTACTGATGCCATAGATGCTATAGCCTAAAACATGCTTGACAGCGCATTAAAATGAATGTCTTCTGGCAAATGAAATATGCAAAAGCTTCACGGATTACTTTCTTCTGTCTTTATCAAACATTGAGAGCTAAGAAAAATGTCTAAGAAAAATGCGAAACGATATGGTTAGTGAGATAAACCAGCTACAGAATTGCATGACCTTCCCTGTTAATTTATGCCTCACATGTACCATTTGTATGTTTTAGTTCCATGAAGCAACGATATTAGGGCAAGACCAATACCAAGCCCCCTGAAGCTTTAGCATCCACTACACCCATAGTGCAACTTTGCAGCAAACTAGCTTATTCAAATTCTTTTTGAAATAACACTTGCTATCAGCCACGTACAGTTTTCATTCAATCAATAGCATCATAATTTTGCGTGTTTTCTAGAGTTTTTCTCTTGTCTTGAAATAAACAATGATCGATATGGTCGGTCGTTAGCGAGCGAAGAAATAGAAAGGATGTCTATTTGATTCATTGCCATGGGCTAAAACGCAATAAGCCAATTTCAGGTTGCTTCAGGTTTGCATAGAATGCACAGATTAGTATGGACTCGGTTGGGATTACACAATAGTCAGCAATTTAAAGAGAGCTTTATAAAGAATCAAGCTCATAATTACATTTTATGAGTTGCAGTCTCGCTTATTTGCTAATGCCATCAACTGACTTGTTTAAAACTAATAGCGTTTGATTTCTTCCATATAAAGAAAGAATTTATCTCTTTAGTTTAAAAATTAATTTCCTGTCTGACCAAGTGATACAGTTACAGTAGCATGATTTTCTAATTACTTGAAAGGAAGAAAGGACACTGCTTTAAATAATTTGATAATGTCATTAATTTTACACTGAAAATGATATTGAGCTTTAATTTGATGCTTTTCAAATTATATGGCAGGTTTTTCTTCTCGCAAAGAAAATAGTACGACCAGCGTTTCAAATTAACCGTAGCGCTATTGCAGACGATGTTTTTAGGAAAATCGGACATTAATAACTGGCCCTTACACTTTTGATAAACCTTTCAGCATCTAACCATTGTCGCTTTGCATTAATGACTCATTTATCAATTTTAACTTTTATCATTGTAGATATTTTGAGCAAGCAACTGCTCTTGTCTTACAGATAAGGATCCTTGTTCAAAGACAGGAATTTCTGATAATCGACTCCAGCGAAGTATAAAAGTTCGATGCACTTAATATTAATGGACAGGAGGCACATCAACAGACTTAAAATTAAGGTGAAAACATCCATAGGCTAAAGTCTATTGTCTCTAACACAGTCAAATATATATCACTTAATGCCAAAAATTAAAGTTGGAGAGTGTTTGGATCTGTAGGCAATGCAATGTTACTGAAAACTTACATACTTTTTAAAAGATGTTTTAAAAAACTCCCGACACGATGACAACATTTGCCACGATATAAACTGGAAAACTTTAGTCAAGCAGTTTGAGGACAAAGTTACTGAAGCTAAACTGTAAGTTATGCTGATGATGAAGCCAAAGTCTGATGGTCATTCAGAAGAGACAAAATATGAAGAAATTGCCATTTTTTGTCAAAATGGCTTTAAAAATGAGGCTCACACTCAAATCAATAATTGCGAGAAGCTGATCACTAAACTGATTACTAATACTATTGCATTCTAACAAATAGGCTTTTATCTTGTACCATACCAAACTACTCTAGAAACTTAAATATGCACAATAGTGCACTAAGATTGCCTGACTTGATGAAAGCAACTCATAACGACTTTCTCCTTTGTTCTTATATATAACGAAGAGAAATGATTTAAATACGGCGCGATGCTGCTTAGGTGGGAGCTAAACAAAGTCTGGAAGTAAGAGTCCCTGTTGAATCTATTTGTCTAATTATATGCTCTAAAACAGATTTTAGAGCTTCGAGAGAAAAATATTATCATAAAATTGCCTTCTTCTCATATTAGAAATTATTCAAATCTTATGATGACTCCTGTTGTCAACATATCATAAAACGAAGATTTGTGAACAATTGTTGAAAATAACTAATAACGTCTTATTGTTGCAAGATCGAAAAGAAAGACTGGACGAGGAGGGATGATGCAGGAGAAGTAAAAACCCATAGAAATGGCTGCCAACATCCTCCCTGTGATTTTAAATTTCGAGGGGACCATTTATTGCTCTAGAATGGAGGAACCTCTATGGTTTGGAGTCGTTTTGACGGAAATGGTGCTTTCCGGAATTTTTGAAGAAAATCCCCATAATCTCCTGCTGGTTCTTGACAACGAAGTATCCACAGAAAATTATTCAGATGGTTCAAAATAATCAAGCCTTGTATAAATACCGGAGGGTACTCCCATTAAGGCCTGACAGGGGGTCCAGTCGGTTTGAGGGTCTTACTAAATGGCTACCAAATAGCCCATGTTTATGATAACTCAGCTGCTCAGTTTAGCTTGCGATTTATTATAGATAATGAACAAAATTTTATTTTTCCGGAAACAACAGCAGTCAGTTGTGAAGAAATTTATCAAAAAAAGGACTAGAGGAGCACAAAAAATGATGCTATCAAGGACATATTTCGTTTTTTATGCTAACATTTGAGAGTTACTGTCAAAAATACTACCATTCGGGGTAATTTTTTAAAATCTAAGCGTTGGCCCTCTTTGACCCTGACCGGACCTCCCTGTTAGGCCATAATAGGAGTACGCCCCCCAGGGGATACGTACTACTAAGCATGAGCTGGTTTATTTTCCGAGGCTTTATTCAATAAAGTAGACCGAAAAAAGAGTGAAATTGGAGATATTTGGAGGAGGAAGAAACGAGGAAGAAAAGATAGAAAAGCAACCCTGCCTATTGGAGAGAGGATATTTTTAAGTTTTATTTATCTATATAATATTTTTGTTTTAGAAAAATAAGAAAATTTCCTCTCTCGAGTCGCCAACAACAACAACAGCAACTACAACAATATTTAGACGCACATGAACAGTTGTCCCCAGCCCCCTTTCCTTCCTTTCCGTGAAAATTTGTAAAATTGTCATACTTTGAAAGAAATCATTGTGAGTTCTTGAAATTATATCCTTGGAATCGTACCCTATTACCTTAAAATGTTTTAGAATATGTCGTATAATTATCTTCCTTGATAATTAGAGAAAGTATATTTAATTATATTTCTAATCGTAGGAGGACATCTGCCTGTAAAAATGTCTGATGCGGGAGATAGGTAAGTGGGCCTAATCGTCCATGTGTTGCACAAACTTGTCCCTAAACAAATGCCAACCAGTACACTAGGCATTTACTTATAAAGTATACACTATCTTTCCTAATCGACCTGAAATTGATTGTAGCAACAGGAAAGTCTCGTGCAGAATATTTCATGATCATCATTTAAAGCCGAATTTTATTAGACCCAGCCAAGTTGAAATACTATGAAATCATTTAAGACAAGAAATTTGTCAGCTTTGCCAAATTTAAGAATTAAATTTGAGTTAATTTTGATAATACATGAGTGAATCAGTTCAGCAACAAAGTCGAAAGGTTGTCAATTTAGCTGCCTTGTAAATTGAATAGCCCAAGATAAGATGTAACTTTAAATTTTTTATATCACTGTTTCTAGTAGAATGGCTTTTGGGCGGTTTGACTCTAGCTGCACTTGACGCGTTTGTATGTATGTATATATTATAAATATAAATCAAACCAAAAATTTTATTATTTAATCTAGATATTGTGTAAGGTAATCTTGAACACTGTTGATAAAATGAAGTTTATCAAGTGTCCGCCCTCGCCCCCCCCCCAAGTGTCCGCCACTGTTTGATAGGTAAAACCAAATTGTTTCTTTATGGGTTCTACAGAGATGATGTTCCAGTTGCTGCTGCCACAGGTGCAATGGACATTGAAACTGCTGTACAAGAAGTCCTTAAAACAGCATTAATATACCATGGTCTTGCTCGTGGGCTGCATGAGGCGACCAAAGCCTTGGACAAGTAAGTCATTGTTGGTTCAAGTTACTTATTCCAGGTTGGAAACCTTACACTAATTTGCAGTTACATGCCTATTTCAAGATTGAGGTTTTCAGATCATCTGATAAATAGTACTGCACTCAACAATTTTATAAAAACATTAGCTTCAAAATTGATTCAAAAGTTAAGAATAGATTAAGAGCAAGCTGAGGCTGTGCCATTGTAAAATGCAGTTTTGAATAATGTTTTATCTCATAAACAAGGATTTTTAGTCATGTTTGTGTGCTTTTTTGGCGAATATTCAAACTTGATGGTGAATTGAGGTTGTTTCACTCACATTGTTGGCAAGGGAGGCCTGAATACTCCCTAAAGCAAAAAGGCTAGCAAATGCACTGCTTACACCTAATAATTCAAAAACAAACTAAGAACAATCCAGCCTCAAATATTCGAAAACATTAAGAACAGTCAGCCTGGTTCTTATAGATAAAGCTGTACTGCTTTCTAACCATGCTTGCAGTGTGTGCCTTGAAAAGTCCATTAGCATAACAGAGCAATTATTGCATTAAACTGGCAAGCATTTACCATTCTTTTAAGACAGTAAAATATAAAAAATTGGTAGTGAGGATTCTCTAATTGAACTTTACACCCTTTTTTGACAAAAACATGGGTTTCAGAACTTTTCAAAAGTTAAGAACAAATTAAGAACAATCTCTGATGCTGAGGTACAGTAAGATGTAATGTTGAACAAATTTGTGAAGCCTCCTTTTAAACAATTATCTTAATATCTCAAATTATCTCTTCAATGAGGAGGTTTTTTTGCCATGTATGGGTGCATTGTTGGTGAATTTTGGCAACTTGTCTGCAAATACAGGTCATTCATAATTTTCTACAGAAACCTAATATACTGAAAATAACAGTAAATGCAAATCATCCTCCTAATATATATATATTTTTAATTTGTTCTATGATGACAAAGGACTCCCTCTACTGAAGAATATCTGTAGATACTTGTCTATTCCGGAATCAAACTTTGTCTGAGAATGAATAGTCAAATTATCTCATATATACCAAAATATTAGTAAGGAATATTTGCTTTCTTTAGATAAAATAAAGTTTATTTTCTTCAGGTTCCTGGAAAGAATGCTTTGAATGTCATTGTTTTTACTTTTTGAAAAAATTTTGTGCCTTGGTCAGATATTACAGTTTTTTCTACAAAGAATTTTCCTTTATTTTAGACGTGAAGCTGTCCTTTGCGTATTAGCTAACAATTGTGATGAGAAAATGTACGTCAAGCTTATTGAGGCACTTTGTGCTGAGCACACTATTAATCTTCTCAAGGTAAGCATGCAAATTATGCAAGTGGTTTGTCTAACAGGCTTTATTAAAGAATGATAATTTTTCCAGGGTAAATAATTAAGTATGCATGTTATGGTGCTAGTTAATTATATATAATAAATTATGATGCCAATTATAATATTTGCATTTTTCAAGGAATCAGGGTCAAAATTTTCCTGTTCAAACAGACATTTGACTTTGATTTTTTGAAATGAACTTTATTCTTTGAGGAACTTGTCAATATTTCTTCAAGAATGCTTAATGGTTTACTAATCTTCTTATAGTTCAAAAAATGTTTACAAAGTTTATATAAATCATATATATATACACTAGGGTATCAAAAGTATTGCACCACCTCGACGGAGGAGAAATGGCGCATGAATGATCGAAAGCTATTGTTATGCAAATTATTTCTGTTTTTAGAGGGCCAATGGCAATTGGTCGAAAGCAAACAACCACCAATCAAAACTTCAATCTATTTAGAGCATTTATTTTAAAAATAACAGTAGCAAACGTCCTTTAACAGTTTCAAATTTCAATATTTTGATGGGTAGCCGCAAACTTTTGAAACCGCAAAAAGCCTCCTTGAAATGGATCCACATTTTTGGTCAACGTATTCTTGTGGAATTTCGCAATAGGCCTGGAAAATTCTTGCAATTAATGATTCTCTGGCTTTTGGACGACCATTTGGATCACAGTTTGTAACATTTTTCATTTGAAGTCAAACTTTTTTAGCGATGTTAAAGATTGGACTTGATTCTGGCTATGCCAAAACTTTAATTTCTTTTGTATGGAAATAAATATTTGTAAAAATGGTTTCCGTTTACTCAGGTAACTTTTTCTTTTGTATTTGTGCAAAACACTCATCATATTTTCTGTGGACGGATTTTGAGCTGCAAAACCTTGCGCAGTGTTGGGTTTCATGCCTTTTACTGCCCCTTGGTGCTGTACGTAGTGAAATAAAACCGACAAATTCTTTCCCCTTTAACATCAAATTTATTTTGGTCGCCAACTTCTCGGTTTCTTTACTACTGTAACATTCTCGAGAAATCTTTTTTGATTTACCGCAGCTGTTGTGTAGCTGCATTTAACTTGGTCAACATTTTTTTTAAATTAAAGGCCACTTCCCCGTAAATGTTTTATAGCGACTCGCCTCTCATTTGACAATTTTGTTTCCTCAGGCATGGGCTACATTTTTACAGATAAAAATGTTTTTGCGTAATTTATACATTTTTAACTAAGTTTTCTATGGCGTCAGCAAGATTTGCAAACTTTTCCCCCTAAAGTTTGCTCTAAAATGCGCTTATTTCACCCAATTAATGCATTCAAATGTTTTGCATTGTCAAAAAGTCGACAAAAAGTGCCGCCATTTTGAGCAGGGTGGTGCAATACTTTTGATACCCTAGTGTACATACTACATATATCATTTCACATTTTAACAGCAAGATCAACAAATGTATCCTTTATGACTGATGACTGTTTTGCTTTCTAGGTTGATGATAATAAAAAGCTAGGTGAATGGGCTGGTCTTTGCAAAATTGACAAAGAGGGACAAGCTAGAAAGGTTGTTGGGTGTAGCTGTGTTGTTGTCAAGGTTTGTGCTTTCTTTAGTCATTACAGTATAATCCGGTTATAACATACTTTAAGGGACCAGTGTATTAAGTATGTTATATCCGAAGTACGTGGTAACGAGGGTAAGTAAAAATTGACTCAAACCAAGCACACCTTTTGCCTGGGCCAAGCACACTAGTATGTTATATCCGAAAGTATGTAATAACCGAGTACGTGATTCTACTGTTAACGGGATACTACTGTATATTTCAAACCCTAGAGGGAATTAGTCTTTTTTAATAAGGAAATTGAAGAATAAACGGTAGCACAAATGTGCAATTCCCAATACACCCAGGGACAAAGCAATTACATACAATAGCATGACAGAAAGAGTAGTTCACCAATTGCCTGATGATCCAACAAAGCATGAAATTCAGGGTTGCTACCTAGAAATGAGAACAGCTCTGCTTAAAGGCAGTGTGTTGTGCTGTTCATTGGCAATTGTTTGTTGAATTTTGAGGGTCCTCGAAATTAAAGAAGAGTGACAAATTTATACAACTGATCAATAGCAAGTAAGAGGTGTCCTTTGTTATGAAATGAAAACTCACTGAAATAGAATTTTTGCTCTTTGTTTCGATAAACCAATGAGCGGCGCGATGTACTGCCTTTAATGGTATTGAGCACTGTATGACAGATAAAGTATACATAAATATTAAACTTGTAATTTCATGTACATTTATATGTAAATGTTGTTTTAATTAATTATGCTAAAGATAGTACTTTTATCATCTATAAATCATAAAGATTGTACAAGAAGTTATTACTAAAATAAAAGTTATTATTATATATAGTTAGTACATTTTTTTCTTTTCTCATTACTGTGATTTCAATAGTTTTATTTTGTAAAACCAGGCTAGCCAGTGACAAATTACCTATGTAATAGTGCGATTTGTAATTTAGTTTTAACTGGAATTCAAAATGAAAAGTTTCCATTGTTAATGTTTTTCTTTTGTTGAATTTTTGGTGGTATCATAAATGTGAGGAATAACTATGCTTTGTTTAGAGGTGTTCTTTCAGTGATGATCAAGGACTCCCTCTACTGAATCAGAGTCTGTAGAAATGTCCTATCCGGAATCAATATTTGTCTGAGAAAGAACATCATGAAAACTCTGTTCAGCAACTGTAGTTTTTTGCCTAGAGAACGGTAGTTTTTTGCCTAGAGAACAGTAGTTTTTTGCCTATGAAATTTAGCTAAGACATGTTTCTTCATTCTGTTCTAGGACTGGGGCAAAGAAACACAAGCTCTTGATGTTGTTAAAGAGTACTTTGCATCCAAACGTGGTACATAAATTTAAATGGAGTGAATAAAATCCCCATTAAATTTTAAATTATTGTTTTCTCTCTGTCTTCTCATCTTATCGATTGGATTGTTGAGGAAAGGTGTTCCATTTTGGAAGTAGGGTTTATTCTTAAAGATAGAAGTTTAATGTAGAAGGTGCTCATTTTGAAAAAGGGCTTATGGACGAGGGGGTTTATTGTGAAATGCTGAAGTGGGCTTTTCACATGTTAGAATTTACTTTATCTTGCCAAGAAATTATAGATGCTTTGAGATGAAAACATGGAACTTGTTTGTATGTTATATTATGCTGAGGGGCAAACAACTTCCTGGAAATGTGATTTTTATTAAATCCCTAGAAATCCTTTGGTTTGTAAGAATGAATAATTACTCTGTTCGTTATGCATTGGTATTGTAATATAAGCTAAATCAGGGGTGGCAATCTACAAAAACAATTTTAGGGTGCACAAGCTATACACTACCAGGGAAAAAGTATTGCAACACCTGCGAAGGCAATTAATGGTGGATCAAGCAATAACTGTTGTTGTCTGATTAAGCCATTGTTTAGTCAGTCAATGGCGTGCAAATAATTTTTCTTATAACTGTATAATTTCTAACATTAACATTGTAATTTTAAGTTTTTCGAAATCCTAAATAGATTTCAAAGAATTTGATTCCTGGTTTAGCATGATTTTGTTCATTTTTGAAGGGAATGTTTCAGCATAAATTTATGAGCTTCCAAAACTTCAACTTTTATAATCAAAGTGTAGTTATAATCAAAGTGAATCTGGTTCAGAATAATTCAGTTCTTTTCAGAGATACTTAACCCTTAGATTAGATTAATTCAAATTTAATTTTTTCAGGCTAATTGAAAAAAGTTCACAATTGTAGAATTTTTGTGGAACCTACACAATTGAAAACAAATTTTATGCTGTTAAAAAGCCTATCAATGGATATGCAAAAACAAACGAAGGATTTTCACCATTGGATAAAAATTTTTTTAAGCCAGGTCATAATGTAGCTCGTTTATAGCATGAAAGTGTTTTTTTCCTGAAGACACCATGTAAAGAACGTCCATCTTTTAATACAGTGCTATTTTCAGAAGCACTGCAATAAGAGCAATGTTGAAAAAGACAATCATAAACCATTTCGATTTTATGTTTTCGGTCACTGGCTTTTTGGGCCAAGGATTTTAAGAGATCCCGTGTGTTGTATGACAAATAAAAAAAATTGAATTGATACTTAGGTAACTCGGTACATTTATTAACCAAAATTCAAAAACACATTTTAAACGCCCTTTTTCAATAGTCGTCACGCCACTCTGCTAAAAGCAAAAAATCAATTAACGCCCGGGTGTTTAAAATGTCAAATATGTTAAGCTTGCTTCGAAAGAATTTGAAATGGCCTTTTTGAGGATAAATTGCAGCAGAAATGTCCATGAATATTTGATTGTTTGAGGGGGCCTTCAGACAAAAGAAAGAAACTTCAACTAACCTTATTAGCGCAATAATTTTTAACAGTGTTCACACAACCACGGCCAGAACATCTCCAAACGGTAACTTGAGTGTTGTTTCGTAGTATTTACACGGACTAAGAAACTAAACCTACTACGATTTTTTCAAAAAATTATTTGTATACATTTGTAAAGAAGAATCCCAAGATTTCCATGTGTAAAAGTATGGCGTCAGCAACAGCGATAGTTTGGCGCGAGAATTCATTAAGAGGACTGGGTCGGAGAGACAAGTGTTTCAAATTCAGAGAAAAGGTTTTTGATTAAAGGTTTTGGTAATGAATTTATATTTGACCAAATAATATTTTTAAAAAAATCAGATTGATTTTAGTCACTTTTCGGTTTATAAGGCCTAAATAGAGTTATTGAGAAAAATATGGAATAGTTTCTTTCTTTTCGGATTTTTGTCCTTATTAATAAACAAACTTGACTAAATTTAAGATATTAAATGAAACAGCACAAACAAGCTATCTTTTATGTCTTGAAAATGTCTTTTAGAATTCAAACAGGGAACAATTTCTTACACGAGAGGCAGTTGGGAAACCTTTTACTTGCCATTTTTAAGTTTCTCTCATGTCCTTGTTTCTAAGGGGGGGGGGTATCTTCCTTTTTACAGGGTAAGCTGATCATTTTCAAAAGATACTTGTTTTATACCACCTGATACAAATAATTAGTTTTTTTGATAAATATAAGTACAGCAAACATCAGCGAATACACTCAATTTATTTATAAGAAACAAAGGTCAATGTTGAGTACTCAAGTTTCTTAATGTTTTGGAAATTTCAATACTCAATGTTTCTTAAGAGTTTCTTAATTATGATGTCATGAATGATGTTATGAAATACTCGTGACCTTTTTTTATCACGTCAAGAGATCTGCTTCCGCTCTGATGCTGCATTTAGATGTGGAAAGTATATTTTTATCCCTTTTGTCTTAAGTTCTAGGGCAACAGGGCAATCATGTTCTTGGATTTTACAAAATTTCGTTGTTCTCAGTTTTATCACGATATAATAGTTTCTTAAGCTTTTTGCTTCGAGTACTGAAGTTTCTTACTTTTTTAGGACCGCCCAGTACTCGTTTCTTATAGCCAGTTTCTTATAAAAAAGATGAGTGTACGTCAAATCCACTGCTTTGAGCACAACAATGATTTTTGTACACTGTATAGTAAGAAGATGAGATACCAAGTTGTTTAAGAAAAAACCACGAAATGATAAACTTTATCAAAGATTCTTCAAATCGATTAAAACATACTACTACAAAATACTAAATGGTCTTTACAAATCTCTATTTAAGATTTTATTTCAAGCTGATATAAAAAAGCGCATCGAATGCTTAAGGTTATGGTAAACGTTTTTTGGATGAAAACATCAATTTTTCGATTTTTTCACATTCAAGTAGCCGAAATTTCAAGGCATACAATGATACCAACTTTGAATCTAGCAGAAACTTTGAAAATGGAAAAAATCCCATGTAAACGAAGGTTTCCATAATTTCTTTATCAAAACTTTTAGTTGAGGTCTGAAAATCTCTTGACCTGTTAAGCCGATTATTGTTGCTTTGCGGTTGATGTCGCATGTCTCATTTACAACATCGCATGGCACATCCATGTATCCCATGTACAGCTGTGTTTATTGTGACTTGACCCACAATGCCTGCCAAAAGTAGGAACACTGACATCAGTTTCCAAGGTCAAAATAAATCATCCCCCTCTCCCCTACAGAACAATGTTGGTTTACTATTGTTGGGGCCCAGACCTTCATTGGTATCCTTAGACCCCACACAGTTATTGTTATTACATTCGGTAGTGTAATACGTGCCGAGATACACGGCGGCATGTAGAGTTTTAATTATAATGTTGATTTTATATTTGATTTAAAGCAGTAGTAGATTACATGTCTTGAATCTCAATACCTAATAAGGACAACGTATGGAAAATATCAATCGACAAGTCTCAGTGAACGTGATTATCTAAGTTGAAACTCGTAAGAAGTTAGTTAGTTGGTTGGAGTAGAGTTGAAGTAATGATGGTGATCGGCGAAAATGTGAAACAGAATATTGATGGATTTGATACAAAATAGTTACACAAAATGGTGATATTTCTCTGAGTCTTCATCTTACACTTCGTTTATCATTAAATATTAAGATAGGGGCACCGCTAGAAATAGTGGTCCCAACATAATTGGAGGCACCGCCCGGATACACGGATCTACGGATACACGGATCGAATGATGGTGATCGGCGAAAATGTGAAACAGAATATTGATGGATTTGATACAAAATAGTTACACAAAATGGTGATATTTCTCTGAGTCTTCATCTTACACTTCGTTTATCATTAAATATTAAGATAGGGGCACCGCTAGAAATAGTGGTCCCAACAACTATCAAACGGGTTAGGATTTTAGGAAGCACTTTCTTTTGCGCTTCTTTTATGATATTTCTCTAAATCATCAACATTGTTTTAGGGGGAAGGTGGCGGAAGTAGCAATTTTTTTCATGAAAGGAAGGAAAGATATCAAATGAAGTGTAAATTGCTGGGTGTTCTAAGTACTTTTGGCAGGCATTGCAGATTACACTGTGGTTTACGAGTGTACCTTGCAAGTGCGACCAGCAAAATCCAGTTTTCTACGGACTTTCAATTCCTCTACATACAGACGCGAAAAAGCTATTTTGTACCCAAGGAACCAATCGAGTGGCTCAAAAATTTGCACACGGCCAGAGCAGATGTCGGGTAAGCAAAGTGTCTCAAAATTTTTGTATTTGCTCTGGTCCGTCTTTTATAGCCAAATATTGTTTGCCAATTTTCGACAGGGTATAATTTTAGGGGAGAAGGAATTCGAAAAATCTGAGACACGCTTTGGTAGCTAAGGATCTGCGCTTTCTGCTGATATACATCAGATTTTGTTGACGCAAACGCAAGGGTACAAAATAGCTTTAGAAGGTGGTACACTCATTTAAGCAATACATTTGCCAGGAAAGTATCATTTTACAATATTTGCCAATTATTTTGACATGGTTGGAATCACCGCGTGCTTGTGCATCGAATGATGTATACCTAATTCCGTCAATAGTTTTGCTTTTAGTGAGAGAAAATCAAATATGGTGTCATAAACGTTTACCGTAACCTTAACATAAGTAGGTTTCTAAATCCTGAACACATACTTTGGTTTTCAAAGCGAAAATATGCACACAAAGATAAAGGGTATTGATACAAACAGGCCAAGCTCTATAGACCTTTTCGATATCTGCGCGCTTAATTTGCACGAACTAGCGACTAATCATAGCACGAATTTACATCAAAAATATTCAAAATTTTGTGGATTTGATTCCTGAACATCTTCCGTAGTCGTTATTTTCGAAAATAGCTTTTTTAAAAGCTTCTGTCAGGTGTCGTGCTCTCAGAGGCTACGCAGGGTTAGGCCGGTTTAAAATATGGTCAATAGAAATGGTGGCACCATTTCTTAAAAAAATAGAAATTGCGCCAACATTCATGAAGTGATCACAGAGAGTGATTTCCAGTGCTTCACCTCTCCGACTTTCAAGTTAAATTCTGATAAGAGACGTGAATGGATTAGACGTTTTAACAGGTACAAGATGGATTTGAAAGTTCCATCCTTATGGCTGCCTCAATGCGAAATAGACCAGCAGCAACATTATTGCGTAATTGGGACATGCTTGCTATACATGATTGCATATTTGGGACAATTTTCCCTGATATTTTCTCTTTGCATACTCAAAACTTACATGGCGCATCAGATATTCTTTGCGATGGTCTGCTGCTGCATTCCACAACTGCAAGATTTTAGAAGGCAGTACTTGCTGCTGTTTCCACAACTAAAGCCTTGTTTTTATATGCGACGAATGCTGTTGCATGTTTACTTCCCATAATTTTTAATCTCCTAGGGCTGAAGAAATTTTTGAGCTCTTACATTTGCGAAAATCTGTCGAGATCGGTGAAGATCGGCGACTTCCCTACCCTGTTAGACCCTCATAATTGACAGAAGCTTTGAAAAAACCGCTTTCGAGATAAAAAAAACTATGAAAGATGTTTAAGAAAAAAATTCCGAATACTTTTGATGCCAATTGGGGCAATATTTAGTCGCCAGTAAACACCGGTTCTATATGTAAAGATAGGCCTGTGGCAACGTCTTCACCCAATTTCTCGCATGCAAATTAAGCACGCGGATATCGAAAAGGTGTATTAAGGCAGCTGAGATCTACGATTGATGATAACGATGAATGATTTTGTGATTGATAGTGATTGAGGATGATCATGATAGATGATTTATGATAATGATAGAGGATTATTAAGATGATTGGCGATGGTTATGATTGAGTATGACAATTGAGTATGATGTTGGAAATATCAAATATTGATGACAAAGACAGACAACAATAAAAAGCTCTGGGCCGATATTGCAAGACTTATAAAGAAAATTTTTAGGTACCAAAAACAAATGCAGGTCACCTCCTGTAAAGCAAACTAAGTTCTTTGTTGTAGTTGTTGCTTCTCTCTCCTTGTTTGTTTTGGCTAAATTTACATAAATTTTAATAGTTGTCGCTTATCATGTTCGTACTGTTACTTTTTGTTGCTGTTAATTAATTAATTTTTCTTTTTTCCACGTCTGCGTAAAAAACTCTAATTTGTCATTTAGATGTAAAGAGCTTTTTTAAGTATTAAATTGTACTTTAGTTAATTTAATTGATGATGATGATGATGATGATGATGATGACGATGATGATGATGATGATGATGATGATGATGATGATGATGATGATGATGATGATGAAGAAGGTGATACACAGTTGCAACTGATCGAGATTCCTATTTTCAAGCAACCGAACACTTATGAACTTTCTGATACCAAATTAGTTAAGTTTTAAATACATAACTATTCTCTGCTAAAGAGGACTTTGAACTTAATGCCCGCCCAAACTCTGTGATCATTGCACAGCTTTGGCTCAAAACCATACATTCCCTCAAATTTTCGCCAATCGTAAGTCGGTTTAAATGGGCATATGGCCTTTAATTTCCGGATACCAGTATCTATTGGAAATGTTTTTGTGAAACGTCGATTCCAGAAAGTCAGCATATCGCTACCATAGACACCGTGAAGAGCAATGTACTTGTAGCAGATCCTTGTGATATTTTTGAGTTCGTCAACTCGTGAGGCAGGTGGGTGATGATGTATTCTAGTTTCATCGTGATAAAGTTTACTGGCATCCATGTTAAGATGCTTGATCCATGTAGAGTATGTCTGGTCTCCGTATGTGTGGCAGTACATGTCATTTGGCTTTTGTGACAGAAACATTCGCACAACATCTTGTGAAAACGTAACGATACCTTCATCGATGTAAACAATACCCTCTTGCTGACAATGCAGATAACCGGACATAAAATAGCTTGTTGGGAGTGAATTCATCCGATGAAGGAGATGTTCTATACACAGTAAAACGTCATCATCAGCTCTGATTAGATACTTGAAATCGTAATAATTCATCGCCCATTGCATTGCGTACAGAACCCGATGACCAAAACGCAGTCCCGGCTTGACTGGCGAAATCAACATATCATTATTCGTCGCTAATTCTTCTTTTATTTTGATGTTCTTTTCTTGCCCTTCTAAAGAATCTATCATGAACATGCAGGTCACCTTTGAAGAAAAAGTGTTGATTTAATTGATAGTGAATCATTCACTGCCTTGAAGTTTCAGGTGGTGCCAATTAAACAACGAAAAAGAATGAAGGTAATAAAAAGATAATGTGTAATCTCTGAAACGCAGAGTATTAAAATAGTCTGACGTCACCTAGGGCATTTTCAGGCTTAGAAACCTATACTTAAAAAAAAAGATTTCAAAAAGATTTCAAAAATACAAACATTTCTGAATACAATAACTTTCCTTTTAAAGTCTCCATTTAAAAACTCATCACAATGTTCAATAAAACGACAATTATCAAATCAATGAACAGTAAATTATCTTGGGCTTCATCGATGATAGCTTTTGGCATTGTTCAGTAGAATGCTCCAAGGGGGCCTTTTGAAAAACACTTTCAACAGGCTAAATTGTCTCACTGTATGTTTTAGGTATTGTTTAAGAAATTTAGGTTAGGCCTGGATTCTCAACTAGCTATAAAACATGTTCTTTTGTTAATTTACTTGTATGTTTTCTCGCAATTTTGTTTGATCGAGCCAAATCGAATAAAGCTAGAATAATATTGGGGTGGGATAGAGCAGCGTTTGCGCATGTTAAAGATGTCGTTTTCTGCAAGTTTATTGGAAAGGACAAACTGGCTTGAAGACCATTGGAGAAGTTTGATGTTATAAAAAATTATAAGAGGTTGCGAAATTAAGTGTCAACAGAGCACCCAGCCCCAAGTTACATATCAGGGGAATCAACGTCAAGTTCATAAAGCAGGCACCGTGGCTTTAGCCCCCCCCCTACTTTTTGCAAAAATGCCAAATATTAAGTAATAAACTACCATTAAAGCCTCTTTTTATACGGATATTTTATACAGAGGTGGCTTTAACACCCCCCTCACTTTTTTAGCCCCCCCCCCACTTCTCTCAACGCTCCGCGGTGCCTGAGAAGGCCCACGCAACATTGTGTAGCACAGTGACAATTCCTTTGTTTCTTCGTTCCTTCGTCTTTTTCAAATTTTTGTATTACGCCAGTATTGGTGGACCAGGATAATTTCAGAATCAAATTCAGGTGCAAAATAAGGAAGTCAAGAGCATTCGTTCTAGGAATTCGTTTGCATGCACCATTTATCCGTAATGTATTATATCAGATAAAAAGACGTAAACACTTACATTGTCGAATCTCTTGCAATCCTGCCACCATGTGCGCCGAATCATACTCCTGCGCTCAAACTTATCTAATGCCGAGAGCACGACTACTAGCAACGATGTTTTGACTTTTGGCTGCCCTGTTTCGAGGTAGTCACTGTACAAATGTCCAGCCGAATTTCCGCACGGGGTAGGATGACGTTTAGGTTTCTCCATTAAGCTGCTTTGATCTCGCAGGCTGAATACCATAAGCAACATAACCGCGACGAACTTCGTAAGGAAAGCAATGATCAAAGTAGCTTTTAACTTTGAAACAAACGGCACCGCTACCACTTCCATCTTCGATGTGAAACGCAACAAAATCTTGCTTTTACCAAATTGAACCGATCGGCAATGTCATAAACTAAACTAACAGTATCAAGTGATTGTCGAAAAAGTAGGCAGCGAAATTCATGTTGGTATTATCACAACATGAAATTATCAAAATGATAAAGAAACAAACTTCTTCTCAGACAGCTTGGAAGCACAATGGTCACATGTTCCTATTTGTCAACCTTTGATGTCTGATCCTTTAAACCCGCAAAAGCATTGTGCCAAAGCTTACTTCGATCAAGAGTCTGGTAACCTGCTAATGCCCATCTTAAGTGTCTATGCGAAATTTTATTTCTTGTTTTTTTCAAAAGTTATATTTTCCCATCTTTTCAGGATTTTAGAAAGCACTTTCTTTTACGCTTCTTTTATGATATTTCTCTGAATCATCAACATTGTTTCAGGGGGAAGGGGGCGGAAGTAGTAATTTTATATTCATGAAAGGACTGAAAGATATCAAATGCAGCATAAATTGCTGGGTGTTCCAAGTGCTTTTGGCAGGCATTGCAGGTACATTTATTATGTGTGAGCAAGTAACTGAGATCAGAACATTTATACCATGGAGGACCAGGAAAAACGTAATTGCAAATTACGGGCAAAATGTTTAGGAGTTTTCTATCTAAATATGTCAAATTTTGTGTATATTTTCATGCATATGAAGTTTGCAATGCGTTTAAATCTTTCAGTTGATCTCTTTTATTTTGTGGTTTAATCGTCAATAAGTGACCTGCGGTGAAGTAACAATTCTTGACAGCTTTCTTTGCGTTACATGATTCTTGGCCAGGTCCAAGTACAAACGACAGGGGGGAAGGCTAAGTCCACCCACTTTTTTCGTGCCACGCCCCTTTGTTAACTCTTAAAGGTAATGTGTCCATATAAAAGGACTGCGTATACCCAACTTGTCAAGTAATATCAAAATAACGGCTTGTGATTGGTCAGTATTCTTGCGATGCAAAACTGCTCACATGAAAACCAAACTCCACAGTACAAAATGACTGTAATGGCTGGGGCGATGACATGAAAAATCACAGGTTTCTGAAAACCCCCGCAGAGTTGCTTGCTTTAGCTGGACACATTACCTTTAAGAAACAAATAGTATTGAAATTTCCAGAACATGAAAAAACTGGAGTACTCAACATCGACCTTTGTTTCTTATACACTCTTTTTTTATAAGAACCAGTAAATTTAAGTTCAGGCTGACTGTTCTTAATTTTTTTGAAAATCTGAGGCTGGATTGTTCTTAATTTGTTCCTAATCTAATAGGGTGTAAGCAGTGCAAGTGCTAGCTTTTTCGCTCTATCGAGGTGTTCAGGCCTCATTTGCCAACAAAGTGAGTCAGACAACCTTCATTTGCCGAAAAGTTTGAATATTCGACGAAAAAGCACCTACACATCGATAAAAATCCTAGATTTTCAGAAAAAACGTTGTTCAAAATTGCATTTTGCAGAAGCTCAGTCTCAGCTTGTTCTTAATTTGTTCTTAACTTTTGACCAATTTTGAGGCTCGTGTTCTTATAAAATTGTTCTTATAAAAAAAGAGTGTAAAAAATGAGTGTATGTAAGTGTTCATTCTTCCACATAATAGTTTTTTCAAATATTCGCAAGGTCCCCCTCATGGCTTATTTATTTTGTTGATAAATTTTTTATTTTGGATGAGTTTATTTTTAATATGAGTTATGAGGGTCTGGATATGCTTGCTTTCGGAGACATCCAGCATTCACAGTTGCGCTACTGGATTTGAGTTTTGCCTCCTCCCTGCTGAGCCTCCTCCCTGCTGAGCCTCCTCCCTGCTTGGCCATTGTTGGTGTAGGAAAACCAATAGAAGGGATTGTTAGTGATTGACATACTCACTTGTCTCTTTGCCGTTAAGGGTAACGTGATTGTCAAGTCAAAAGCTAAGAAGCGTGTGCACGACGCGACGTATTGTGATCGCCCCCCCCCCCCCACAGTCCACATATCCGCCACTTACCTCCAATTCTTGTATTGTATTGTCCTGCAAGATCCAATCCAATTCTTGCAAATGCACGTAGTGGTTCTATGAGACGAATCGGTGGTAATGGAGCCACAAGTTGATCTGCGGGTGTTGCCTTTCTTTATCTTGCACTGGTTGCATCTATTTGTGACTTCGCGAATCTCTTCTCTGCACCCGTCGATACCACAAATTCGACTATTTCTGCATGCTCTTGTCAGGTGGTTGCTTCACAAACACCTTAAAAAAGCTTCTGCTTCTTTGCAATCTCCCATTGCAATCTTCCACTTCCTTGCTTTAGAAGGAACTGCAGTCCCATATCATATGATCATTTTGGCGAACGTAGCATTTTCTCAAGAATTTCAACTTTTTGGATCCGTCATCTGCTCCAAAGAATGAACTGCTAGAGTTCCTTGATCTTGTAACAATGTTCTTATGAAACCCGTGAATCGTTTCTGCGGCTGCTACTTGAAATTCTGCTGCTTCAATAATAAACTGTCGCAGCGTTTCAACATCTTCATTCTTTTGATGCTCGTAAATCCCTGACTGTTCGTCTTCTTCTAATTCTTTATTCTTCTCTTTACGGCCCTTCTTTTTTCCAGCCATTTCCTTTTATTGATTATTATAAACGACTTGAACTCAACTACCCGTTGCTACCAAATTATGATCCGAAGATTGATCATAGAAAAACGACTCTCCGATTATGACAGCAGTAATAAGTCAATTGTCTATCGTCGAAGAGCGTAAAGACTAACTAACGAAATAAATAAAACTGACTGGATTTGTACAAATGCTTCTTTTATGCCATACCGTTTATACGGAGCGTATGATAAAAGGCCATTCTTCTAAAGTAAACTCTTAAACATTTTGAATGCACTTCAATAGAGCAGCGCCGATACCAAGCATGTCGCAAAGATAAAATATCTAGGTGTAACTGCCGATGGGCATCTAAAGCGGGATAAGGAATAAAATTTGCAAAGGTCTAAAATTGTGGGACTTGTGTCACTAAAAAAAGTATAATTCTATAAAATTCCACTTTTGGTAGAGGAAATTTCGCGAATCGAGAGTTGCGCGAAATTTTATCAAAATTAGTTAAAAGTTACCATTCGTCATCAAAATTTCAATCGCAAATCGCGAAATATCTGGAAATTTCGCGAGAATAAACATTCGCGAATTTTTATATTTCAGGAAGTTGGGCGGATCAAATGTTCGCGATTTTAGACCAAAACACGAAAAGCTCATGAAGGCCTCTACCGATGAAAGTCTCTTCAGATGAAAGTATCTTCTCATGAAAATTCCTTTCAGTGAAAGCTTCTTCTCTTTACGTGATTGTGACAGACTGCCAAAAAAACTTGAAATTAACTAACGTCTTACAGGACAGAACTCGGTCAATAATTGAAAGCATCAGATTCAAGAAAACTGTGGGCATTTAACTGGTTGGGTGTGAAAATGTCATTCGATTCGATCGAACAGTCATGACATATAGGATTTTGAAGAGGTAAGTCATGGAAATTCAGCAATCAAACTATACAACAAGGCACTGCAAAGATCTTCGGATTCCCAGACTATATACAGAGCAGGTGAAAGAGAGTTAAACTGTAGAGGTACACCCCCGTGATTGGACATTTGTTTGTTAGACTATGTTCGCTTCTATTCCGCTGTGCTGTATGTTTTGTTATTCTGTAATGGATCTTTCTGTGAGTAAGCCCCGTAAAGTATTTTCTTATGACTCGATTACGGCTACAAAACTATTCGGCCACCAAAAAATGGCATCTCAGTTGATATTCGCAAAACATTTTATCGAAAGAATGTGCCAACTAATTTGAATTTTTGAGAAGGATATTTTTGTCGCTAAGAAAATGGTGGGCTCGGGGTTGATCTATTGAATTCCCACAGCTAGAGCAGATTGCACTGCCATTAAAAGAATCAACTTTCAAATGGAACCCTCTGATTGGCTGAATGGCAGCCTCTGATTGGCTGAATGACCAACATTTGAACAAACTATCTGATTGGCTTAGCAAGATTGGCAGTTGTGACCAATGGGCATTGATGTATGAAAATTGCAAAGAAACTGCTTTGCAGATCCATTACAACATAAACAAATTAGAATGTGCAGCCACTGCAAGGGTTAATAACATAATAATAATAGCAATAATAATAATAATAATAATAATAATAAAAATAATAATAATAATAATAATAAAAATGCAAAATACCCAAGAATAAGAAGACCGTTTAAGACTGAGCACGGCAGATTTCAGACAACAAAAATACCATGATACACAATAAAATCATATTTAAAAAGTATTGACATCTCATCGTTAAAAACAGAAGTACGTTTTCCCACAAGGAACGTACCAATCAGCTACTGTTATAATAACACTACAAATTGTTAAGCTAAAATTATCATACGAATTAATCTACCTACAAAATTAGCATCCCCAAAACTTAAACTACGAAAAAACTCAAGAAAAATGTCATGACTTGTTGCACTTTGGAACAGTATTTGGCCTATGGTTCTTCATGATGTCTAAACAATAATAGGTCTACAGGGTTTAGAAATTTGTGAATTGAGGCTTTCGTAGCACACGACTCTTTAATTATGTTCTTTCTCTGTTGAAGACTAAATTGAGAGTTGGAAGTCAAGGAGGTAGTAAATGCAGAATTCTCCGCTGAATATGCAAAAACTTTGACATTGCAATGATTGGAAAAGCATGGTCGATGAAAAATGAAGTCAACATCCGTGCTCAATGAGATAATTCCAGGCAAAATAACTTGTTCAGACCTCGTTGTTCAAACGCTCGCTTTTTCGATCGGTTTAGTTAGCTCTCTCAATTTTTTCATTGTCACAAGCAAACACGTGACAGTTAATGGTTCTTAAGTCAGGTTATCAAATATCAAGCTCTCTATTAGCTATTAAAATATCAAATCACGAGTCGAGACACCTTGCTCAACTATAAAAACAAAACACAAGATATTGAAAAATAAGAATAAATACCAGAGTTCAAGAAAGAGACGTCCTAAACTACACGCTACATGTTACTTACTTGTCCAAGTCCAGAGCAAGAATTCCCTCCAACCCTGTCATCTCCTTGGCTGATAGCATCGCAATTATCTGCAAATTCACTCGTCCTTTTGTTATTTTCTGAAACACAGTAAGGTTCAAAGTTTTACCATGTGAGTGCTGGCCTAACAATTCGAGACGATGAAGAAGTCTAGGTTTCGCAATGCATTGTTAGCACTTAATAAAGTCATTTGGGAATAAAAAATGAATGGAAAGGAAAATCATTGGCGAGGAATAGAACAAAAGGATATCAATTGTGGCACCGAAATGGCAAATGTAAGAATTTCCAATGCTCACAAGACTTTGACACAATGAAATGGGTTGACTTGTCACGTTTCTCTAAGACACTAGGGACCTGAGCATAATAATGGCGGGGCTACTATTGATATCGACCACAGCTACAATGAGTTGTTTCTCAAAGCAAGTGAGTGAAAGGCTTGCAATCGTCGATTGGTTAAATATATGAAGCTTAATAAACTTATCATTTTCCATCTCAAGCCATTAATGATTTTCACTTTAACATAAATATACAGGTTTCAGAAGTTTTACACTTTGCGAAGTATCGGACGAAAAGCACTTTGCGAAGTATAATTCGCGCTATTTTAAAATTTTGCAGCATAAAAGTCTCTTCAAAGCAGGATCAAAACAAATAATATAATTTGGTATATTTTTTCCCAGAGAAACCAATCTACAAGGATCACCATCTATAAAGGTCAATATTTTTGTAAAACCAACATATGATCGATAAAAAAGGGCCTGCCTTTGGAACCATCATGATTACCTCTATTACTAAATTAGCTTCTCTCACAAAAACCTTTGTGTTACCCGCCGTTCTGGCGTCCTTTAGCGATATTTCTCCAAATCACGCTACGAGCAAGCTCAGGCATAAGACAGGTGGTTTGGCCGAAAAGAAATTGCAGTACTGGACATCAAACTAAAGTATAAGGCGCTACAACGTACAATATCCATAAATAAATAATAATCTGGAGGCCTACCTTCATCTCTAGTGACTTTTCCACAATTAGTTTGTCATCTTCAGTATCCCTGTCAAGATGAAAAACATTATTATGGCTTCACGATTAAGAGTTGCAATCAGATTCAGTCTGATTTCGTTCCAATAATTGAACAAATTTTATCAAATTGCCAAACGTTGAAGTTTCTTTTATGGATTTGCGTGTCAAAGGTAAGTGGCAACTGTGAAACTACCAAAAGGGGTAAAAAGGTCTCCAAAAAAGATGAATTCACGCACCAAAAAGAAACCTCTTTTTTAAATAAAGCACATGCTAGTGGGGGTCGACAAAGATTTCAGACTTTGATTCAAGGGGCTCCTTCGATATTTGAAACTTACTTGAAACTAAATGAAAAACCAATTTTGTGTAAACAGAAGGTATTCTTTCCTCTCAGGACTGATCAGGCAAAGTTTATTGCCATGCGCTCGCGTTTCTGATTGGCCTATTTCGATCCACAATTAGGTATATATATTTCTCGGCGTAGAAATATTCGATCTATTTTTTGACGTTTTATACTATGAAGAGTGTCGGCCGAAAAACGTAAATATGCTTTAAAACGCTGCTTTTTTCATAGCTTGTTAAAATTGTACCGCCACAAACTGTGTATATAACAGATATTCAAGATACAGTCATACTCACGGTATATCAAAGCTAACTTCATCTTCAAGAGCGGTTCCATCAAATATCAATTTGCAATTGGTCAGCTTTTTCACATCAGATGGAAAGGTTAGGCCAACTTTGACGGATATCTTCTCACCAGACTTCACTTTGTTGTTGGTCCTGCCAACTAATGTGACGTCAAGATGTGGCCTGGATTTGAAGTATAAAAGTTAATCAGGAAAAAACGAAAGAATACGGGAAGATATAGTATGAACAAGGATAAGCGAATCTCAGAACTTTAAAAATTAGACGCCTTTATTTTGAAGGCGGTGAGCATGTTTCTTTTTACAATCAGCAAAGATTTAGATTAGTTTGAGTAGGTGAACTAAAAGAAAATAAAAATGTCTTCAACTCTCTTGAAATCTAACTTGCATGACAAAAAGCACGACCTCGTTCAATGGAATATAATTTATCAGCAATAGAGTGAAGATAAATCAGTATAGAAGATTACGAAGAAATCTGCAAAACGGTGAAATAAATAAGTTTTTATAATTATTCAAAAGAAAAGGAATTTGGTGAAGCTATAAAACTTTTACATCGAAATATCTTTTAGCGTTTATTGTAGCAAAAATATGTTTCACATAAACAGCCGACATTGCGTCAATACGGGGCACTTTTGTCATCACAAGGGGCATCATAAAAGCATTACAGCGGACATCAGTGCGTATAAGCAACGCCTAAAATATCATAACTGCGCATGCTCTTTAACTAAATCCAGGGGGCCACCTCAGCAATTGTTCATCTTCCAGACAAGGATCGGTTTAGCAAGAACTCAATTTGAGATGATGTTAGCAAACACAATAAAAGTATTTTGAACTTCTCACTTCTCAATGGTCACCACAGCTTGCTTGGCATAGGTCTGTCCTGAGCTGACAATCGCCATGACAGTGAATCGAAGCATCGGGTTCTCATCCATGTAGCCAGAATATTCAGCCGGCGTGAAGCTAAACTTCGTTGTTTCCTCTAAAAATGACAAAAATCTTTGAAGATCAGATGGAATAACTTCATAAGGAATGACACGAAGGTTTTTATTTACTCGAATCAACTCCGGAACTTGGAGGCACTGGTCATATTTTCCTAGTTTTGAAGTAAACAAAGGAGCGTTCTTTCAAGGTCTGCTGTTAATCATAATATTACTAAGAATCGATTTCAAGTAGGGCGTTGTCAATCGAATGTTCTAATATGAAGAAGCAACACCCAGAATTTTACAAGTTGAGCCTAAAGCCATGAATCACGAATGTCTATAATATGAAAAATTACAGCGAAAGGCGCTTCAATTAAAACGTAATTTGGCACAGAAGTGGCATTGTGATGTAACACATTATCTCTAACCAGCCCCATTTGCTTTAAGCATTTTTATGAAGGCTCTCTATGAATATTACAGATATAGGCAGTCACTAGTGGTAACCATATAAACGCCTGAACATCCAGTCTCAGCAAAACTTGAACTACGCCTGCTCACCTTTACCAGCTTCTAGCTCTATGGTATTCTTCCGTCTCTTGAGCTTCATGAGAGCAACACCTGTATAGCGTACAATTTGCGATGTCAGCGAAACGTCAACGGACAGTTTCTCTGAGGATGTGTTCTTCATTTGCAAGTTGGCTACGACATTCTCGCCTCGGACAACGTTTTCTGGCGCCTCGATAGAGAATCTTACATCACTCGGGGCTTTGACAAGGGCGTCACTCCTGGCGATTTTCATTGCCCTGCGAACCGCAATGCGCTCCAGCTTGGATCCCTCGGGGTATTTGTACTCGGATGTGACGTCGTGCGCTTTGCTGAATAAGCTTGACCAACCAAATGAAGCTGTACTTATGTCGTGGCCTAAACGCAGTAGATTAGACAAATTACATAAAACCTGACAGCAGAGAACAAGAGGGAATATTGGGATCTACAATCCCTGCTAAAAATAGATGAGACTTGTCAAGAAAACTTGACTTTCTCTCTTTCCTTTAAAAAATAACCCCCCCCCCCCTTCCCCGATTCACTGTTGAATGCTTTTTTTGGAGCAAAATGATAGAACTACAAATCCAATAGTGATTTGAAGAAAAGGGAAAGATTCCAATTTGAAGGGGTAAAGTAAAGTATAAAATTTGCAAAAATTGCATTTTGTTGGAAAATCAATTTTGTCCGGGATTAGCGGGTATACCCAGGATGGAGGCTTGCAATTATAGTCTTTGAAAAGACGAGAAACTTTTGCATGCAATCCAGGGCACAGTTCAGTTATCAGTATCTACTGATTTACTTCCATGAATTTTATACCTATAGAGAAAAAGATCCAAAATCTTTAGACTTTAAATCAACCTACAAAAGTAGCAACTTTTCTTCGACTGTGGAGTATAACCTTTGATTTGGCCACAGATCTGAATTTTTGAAAGTTACCAATGGGAACTTGCATGATTTTGTGTCTGCACGTGACTATTCAAAAGAATCCGGTAGCAATCTGATTGGTCCAAATTTAAACTTATCATTTGACTGGTCACTTATCTACTGACTGGATAAGCGGAATCTCGGTCCTCTAATCAATCTTTTTCAACATCCATCAAGCATGAAATTATCGAAACCTTACAAATAAATAGATTTTCAAAATATTTTTCTTTCTGTAAAATAACGTTTATTTGATTTATACATTTGTTTGAATCAAGCGTAAAATATACATTTGTTTGAATTAAGCATGATTTCACACGAAAAAGAATGAGAAAGCAGTTATTGAAATAGGCATGTCGACCGAAAGTGTTGTTGGTAAATGAAATAGGAGCCCCGTGATCAAGCGGGAACACAAGATCTTACTCACAAACAAATTAACTGCAACGATTGATCAGTAAACAACGAAAGATTAGATATATATAAATTAACAACGCATGATTAGTGATTAATCAGTAAGTAATGAATGATTAGTGATTAATCAATAAGCAATGAATTATAAGCGATCAATCAGTAAGTAATGAATGATTAGTGATTAATCAATAAGCAATGAATTATAAGCGATTAATCAGTAAGCAATGAATGACTAGTGATTAATCAGTAAGCAATGAATGATAAGCGATTAATCAGTAAGCACTGAATGATAAGTGATTAATCAGTAAGCAATGAATGATAAGCGAAAAATCAGTAAGCAATGAATGATAACTGATTAAGCAGTCAATAACGACATATCTAAAACGACCCACTCACCCACTGCATCTGTGTCTACTCGGAATGGTTCATAGTTCTCCTTTTCTTTATTATACCGCCAATAAACTTTGTCTGAATTGACTTCAGCAAATATGAACTTGGTATCGTATTTCAGATTGACCTTGCCTTCTTTGATTGCCCGAACCGACGCGGGGCCTGCTCGATATTTGCCTGGAAAGATACATTTCCTTGACATGGCATATGGAAAAGCTAAACACTAAAATCAGGTTCATCAAAGTATTTTGGTTATGATATCTAAAGTTCTGCTTTATAACCTGACAAGATCAAGTGTATAATACAGGTTAATTTTTCTGTTACTAAATTATTGCGGTACTGACATTTATATTTGAGCAGCAATTAAAATCAACAGACCACTGTGTATTCATTTCAATGTGTGGTCTCGTTTAGGAAACAAGTCGAGACTTCATTGTAACGAGGCCGTATATTGAACTGATGTATATGATGATATTGATGTGCATGATGGGAATTCTTTACCTTTGCTAAGCTCCTGCGGTGTAGCATCGAAAGCCTGCCAGCCACCATAACCAGGGGGTAAGTCAGGTCTGGACATGTAGCTCTCGTTCCAAACATGGAAGTTCCTGCGAAGAATTATAAAGCAAGTTCTTAAATACTGCAATCCGATGGAATAGAAAATTGCAATCAAACAAAGCGAATTCGTAGATCTCGTGCAAAGAGATTTACAGCAAGTTATTGGAATAGCTAGTAATGTATAAAAGGGTTATTTCTTAATTGTAGACATTCTAAGACAGATTCTCAAAGAAAGCAGGAAGAAAGAAAGAATGTATGAAGTCTGTGTTTTTTAAGGAACTAACGTCTCGAAATAAGCTATATTCTGCTTGACAAACACAGTCAAATCTTTATTAACAGTTATCTTCTAAGAAATGACTCCAATGCAAAACCGAAAACAGGTTTGCCCCAAAATACCCTTCATTCGATCAAACCCATTTTAAGGTAACCTGCAAATAATGGACACCTCTCTACAGCGAGCCTGAATTTGGTGCAACATAAGTTGTTATGATATTCATTTTAACCTTGCTGAAAAATTCAACAAGGAAATTCTGTTAACTTGCTTAACAAGCTGCATATTCATCTATTCAGGAAGGTCTTTAAGAACATGCTGGGACTTCTAAGATCCTTATAGTTGGGTAAAAAGTCATTTCTAACGCCACACAATGTCAATTGATGTGCTAAGGTAAAGAGATATTTCCTACCAGCAAGAATCGTCCGATTCTTCATCCAAATAGTCGCCATCAGCACTAAAATATTTGTCAAAGGTCAAGTTGTTGTCCGTGTCGTGAGCAGAGTCGTAATTTGTTATTGATCTTGTTGGAATTCCAAGCGACCGCATCACTGCGAAGGAAGAAATGTAGAACTGATGATGATTTGGAGATATATATATAGCTTGAATGTATTTCTAAACAAACCGCAGCCAGCTGAGCCTACGTCACGCTTATTTGTCTACCAAAAATAGCACTAGTCTAACAAAACAATAAGCGATTTCACAGTTTTTGCCGCCATTATGAATTGGCAAAAATGGCGGACACGCAGCAAACGAGCAAATTACCGCAGAATTTCCAGTCAATTTTGTAGCTAGAAGTGCTGATAAAATCAGGCAGTAATCAGCTAAATTAGAATTTAAATGTTCCTTTTTTACAATAAGCAACTCACAAACAGCGTTCCTTGTTGTTTTCCTTGTGATTTCACTGCTGACTTTGACCAGGCTGAAATCAGTCCCCTTTGACCTCTCGTACAAAAACTTCCGCGTTTCGATTCAAACCTTGGTGAAACTCGTTATTTCTAGCCTGTTCACAACCATCTTGAGTTGGACTCTCTTCAGAAATTCATTTGACGTCAATAAAACCTGTAAAAGACATCAAAACATCGTGACCACTTCTATGATCGTGACGCATGTTATTGATGGAGGATTCCCCTGTATAGCATGAGAGGCATATCTGCTGGGATGCCATACAGGGGAATCCTCCATTACATTACATGCGTCACGATCATGGAATTGGTCACGATGTTTTGATGTCTCGTACAGGTTTTACTGACGTCAAGTGAATTTATGAAGAGAGTCCAACTCAAGATGGTTGTAAACAGGCTAGAAATAACGAGTTTCACCAAGGTTTGAATCGAAAAGCGGAAGTTTTTGTACGAGAGGTCAAAGGGGACTGATTTCAGCCTGGTCAAAGTCAGCAGTGAAATCACAAGGAAAACAACAAGGAACGCTGTTTGTGAGTTGCTTATTGTAAAAAAGGAACATTTAAATTCTAATTTAGCTGATTACTGCCTGATTTTATCAGCAATTCTAGCTACAAAATTGACTGGAAATTCTGCGGTAATTTGCTCGTTTGCTGCGTGTCCGCCATTTTTGCCAATTCATAATGGCGGCAAAAACTGTGAAATCGCTTATGGCATTGGTCTACCAAAATAATAGTATTGATAACACTTTTTTGGGATACAAAATTTAAAAATGGCTTTAAAAAAAGCATTAAGTATATATATATACTTAAGCTTTCAGTCTGACACTCTTCAGAGTATAAAACGTCAGAACATAGATCAGATCCTATCGTAGTGTTTTGATCCATGTTCTTACGTTTTATACTCTGAAGAGTGTCAGACGAAAAGCTTAAGCAAAATCCGTATTGATCTACAAAACACTGACCATTGGGGCTTATTCGACTGTAGGAGCTTATTTCACCAAAAATACATTGGTTGGGGGCTTATTCGGGGCGGGGGGGGGGCATATTCGAAGGCGGGGGCTTAATTGAGGTCTCACGGTAATTTGAAATTGTCTCAAAACAGACCAACGTGGTTGCCTTTAACAGCTTGCCTTCAAGTTATATCATTACCAGATGCAAATACCAAGACTCTGAAAATCTTTGGTGAGACCAGTTCTTATCCATAGAAATAGGGATGTTTCTGTGCTTGTGTTCTTGTCACTCTACCAACCAGATTTCCCAAGGGAATCAATGATGGTCAAATTCCAGATTGTGTTAGGGGAAAACTCTATGTAGCCCCAACAAGACAACAGCAAAAAACGAGAAAATACAGCAAACATCAAGTTAACTCTAAAAGCTTCTCATTATAACACTTTCCAGGTAGCAATTCGTTCATGGAAAAGACATAAAGCATTTCTTGGAAAATAATATTTCCGCAAAAATTAAAGCATCACTTGGAAATTTTCAGAAAAAACAATAAGGTTTTCATCAGAGTGTATATGACTTCTACGAAATGGTCATTTAAGAACTTTTTCTACAATTTCAGAGACACCACTTATTTTTTTTGCTTGGCATTCGATTGGCCAATTCAAAAGCAGAGTTGACTAGTCATGCATTTCAATTGAAGAGACCAAAGAAAAGATTATTCTGCAGAGAAACTGATGCCAAAAAATGTGTTTTCAAAAATGTATGTTGCTATGAAACAAAAGGCTAATGACGTAATTGACACAACCACAGAATAGGAAATAGGCAGAAGGGTAACTCTTGTCGGTTCCTTTGTTGTTTTTGAAGCCTGAGTCAACAATAGAATTCTTCAATTCCCCTTTAACCTCGATCTCATTAGACGAACTTAGCCATGACAAATTATCATTCATTAATCAGATATAAACGAATTATGATACATAATTGAATTTGTTCACTATCATGGGGCATTTCGTCTCAAATAAAGTTGTCTAATTCCATTCTTTTTTAAAATTTCCCCGACAGAAACATGCTAAGCCTCGTATAAGTTAACGCATGCGCAGGTTTTATCAGGCTTCACCTGATAGGCAGGAGTTTCCCTTCTGCCTAATTCCTATTCTGTGACACAACGGTGCCCTTTTGCAGTTGCTTCGCATTAAAAACTAACATTCTGTAATTTAAAAAGCAAGTTTTTTGTAGGCGCACTCACGTGACGTTGTAATGCCAGAAAATACCCAGCATTGGCCATAGTGCACTGGGCTGCCTGTTTCGAGGTATTTCTTGAAAATTGCAACACTGCCAGTCCACTCCCATGGCTTCACTCCAGTATCGTAATCCCCACTCCAATTGCCAGTCAAAACTCCTTGGTCGTCAGAATCATTGGCCTGTAATCAATAAACGACTCTGCATAAGAATACCTTCAGAGCCAGTCACAATAGAGTCTATAAACGTTTCTTAAATGTGGTAAGCGTTTACTCACACGTAAACTTTTCAGAAAAAAAGAAAGAAAATAAAGCAAGGCAGTTGTGGCACCGCGAAGCACCACAAAGGCATCCACCCCCCCCCCCAGTTCTCGGCAAGATCTAAGCTTCGTCTAGATGTTTTGAGAATATATTTGGAAAAGTTAATTCTTGGCATAATTGTGACTCTATGATATTTGAAACTGCCTTTACGTAACCAAAAGTTAGCCATGGTCATTCTATATTGGTAAAATACCAATTCAAGAAGGCTCGGCTTTTCATTTTTATGCTTTTTTTAGCTATCTTACCTTTTCAACCTGATACTAAAATATCTGATTCCGTATATCATGTGAATCGTTCAAATACGACAAAGAATGGGACATTTATCTAGGAAACGTGTTTAAATAAAGAATAAAATAAAATTAGAATAAAGAGAGGAACCTACCAACGCCGAAATGGCTCTCGCAACTTCACGGGCTGTGTCACGGTAATTAATGCTTACCCTGTCCAGAAGGTTCATCACACAAGTGAAGGAAGCATTGGTGAACTGGATAAATAATGACGTCATCAGTCTTCAGCAAAGATAAAACTAAAAACAACTGATTGAGCTCGTTCAGAACACAAAAAGCAGAATTATAGAATTTGGGAAATGAAAGACAAAATTCTCACATGAATTTGGTTACTGTTTGGGAAGAAATATGGTTCCCATGTGAAAAATAAGGTTCACAATATCATATTATAAAGAAAAGCTAGTTGTTGAGGATTTCTGTTTTTGATTCAACGAAGCAGAAATAGCTGGAACTTTCAGGTTTTTAACAAAGAAGAGATTGATTTGATACTCTCTTAACAGACTTGTAAGAGGGCAAAGTACTATAAAAGATAGAGGGTTCTGAAAATTCTCTTTCTTAAACTAGACAGATTTACTCCAACTGTAAAGCTGCAAATCCGACAATTTTATATATAGTAGTTTGATACGAAAATTTTTACCGAAAATATGCTTTTTCTTCAAAATATTCTAAATATGCTACAATACAGCTAAAAATGACAAGTGGGGTGCCTTTAGCTTGAAGCAAATTATACAGAACAGCCTTGGTTATCTTAGAATTATGTCATACCAAGAAGAGTATTACCAAAATGGAAAAAGTCAGTTAGTTTAACTTCAATCAGTTTCTCATCAGCTAAGTATTACTATCTCATTTACATATAAAAAGAAAACTTTCGATCTGATGACTTGCCTGGCCAAAATACCATGGTTTTGGTCTTCTGCCACCCCAAAACACGGCACCATTGTCATTGAGAACATATTCCTCTCGCTGCTTTTCATCCTTCATGTAAACTTCATCCTCTGAAATTTAGGCAAAATGTCAGTGCATAAACGCTCATAGACTCTGATACTTTTGTATTGAACCTTGGCTTTTATTCTATGTTTTCTTTGAGGCCATCAAATGTGACTTCCTCTTTACCAGCCAAAAGATTAATTTCACCTAAAATGCTGTGATTGTGTTTAATATCTTCTTAGAATGTAACCCCCATTGTGTGAATTATGGCTAGTCATGTACATTAATGTAATCACAAACTTCTCCTTAAAATTTCTTTGAATTTATTCAGCCCTGAAGCTTAGTTTCACATAGAACTTATTTTAATGCTTATTTTGATTATTACCAACTTCATTTCAGCTGGCTTTTAGCTGGTCTTGGGTCATTTTTGGTGGTTTTGGCTCATTTTGGAAGATGTTGGCTTGTTTTAGGTAGTTTAGGGCCGTTACATATTCTGTCCTTACAACAAACACATATATTGGTAAATATTGACCTTTCCCTGAATATCTCCACAGGCGAGATTAAATTTGATGTTGTAAAGAAACCAGGAAGGGGAGGGGGGGGTCTTACATTGTGGAATCAACTCTAATTTACCTGACCAAATCATTAGCTATCAAATCACACATCAGTTTTACATTCAGCATGTCTCTAAACTTTCAGAGCCAATATACATACATATAGATCTTCTAAAATGCAACAGTATTTCTTTTAGGAAACAGACTAGAACAAGGCTAATAGCAAAAAAAGTTAGAATGGCCAATCAAGCTACTCTGTGTAATGATAAAGATGCTTTGAAACCTCAGTAGTGAAAACCAGAGGCAGACACTTGGTCAAATATGGAGGGGGGCATGCTTATTGTTTTAATAAGATGATGTCACATTTTCTTATTGTTTTGGAGCAAAAGATCATTGTCTTCCAAAGTATTGAGAGTGCCCCCCCCCCTTTCCCTTCAGGTTTTTGCCACTGGTGAAAACCAAATGGGCTGTAATTAAGGCTACTTAAATAAGAACACATAGGGACTTGTACAAATGTATAGATAGTCCTTGATGTGACCACTACAAAAAGCAACTATTTCAAGCAAGAGCAGAAAAAGGAAACAAACCTGGACACCAAGCATTGTATAGAATATAAACAGGGCCTTCCAGATAGTAGAACACAGATCTCTTTTTTGCCTTTTGCTTGTAAACTGATTCCACAGCAAGTGAATACTTGGCCACAATGCAATCAGCAGGGATGTTGATTTCAACTTCAAGTGTTGTGCCACAGCATTTCAGCAGGCGGTAACCCCATTCAGACTTAAGAGAAGATATTTATGTTACTGATCAAAAATAAATCATGCAATCATAAGTTGTTTTGCTTATTGAAAGTACATAAAAGCAAAACTATCAACTTTTGAAGCAGTCATTTACAAGAATTATATGTCAAAAGAGTTGACTTTACTTATGGTGGAAATTGGATTGCAGAAAAATAAAAAGCTAAATTTGATTTTTTTACTCAAAAGTGGCTTCCATCTGAACTTTCAAAATGAAAGATATGAGCAGAATTGTTTAAAAATGTTTCATGCTACGTACCGATCAAATTGTTTACTAAAGAAGACAAAACGCTGTTAAATGGCTTGGAGGTCACATTGAGATAGAAAAAGAAAGAAGTTTAACTGGGATCAGCCTTATCAAGTTTATAAAGTTGCTTTCATTCTATCTTTAGCAATATAATAAAGTATTGTTTTTTGCTCTGGCAAAGAACAAGGGATCAGCCAGCCAGTGAATATCTTGAAAAAAACTCTATCATGCTAGCAGATATACAATTTTGGTAAATAATAAATAAAAATAAGAATTTTAAATTGTAGGGTTATTCTTGCCAGTGTGAAGAAGGCTCAATTGGCTACCGGCTTCTAAAAGCCTGGTGATGGACCATTTGATAAATGTTGACAAGCCCTAAATGATGCTCAACATTCTTAAGTTTGTTAAACAAATATATATTCACAAATTGTTGAGTTACTTGCTACGGTGATAGAATTAATGATTATGAATATTCTCTTGTTATTAATTAACCACAATTAGTTTGATGCTAAAAAACAAATATCATATCCTACATCATAAAGCCAGACAAACTAAAACAATTAATACCAAATCATATGAGCTAGTGAAGCTAATTTATAACAAAAGAATCAATTTAGAAAAAATTAAACATATATCTATATAATTGTAATAAGATTGATGGCAACCAGTCTATCAAACAGTGCTTCATGTGTTATAAGCAGGAATGTCCAGGTCCACCTTCTGGTGGGTGGATAGAATGATTCTACTAGGACAGAACAGGATGGGTTTGATAAAGTGGTTAGAGCAGCTGGTTTAACAAAGGGAAGAACAATAAAGAAACTTGGCTTTATGTAATACACTGCGTTATTGGCTAAATCTAACAACAAGCTTGAAACTGGGTGCATCAAACAATACTACAGGTTTCTGTTCAAAACCCAGACTTGATAACACAGTTTCAGCAGCTTTTAGTTTCTAAAGGCAAATAACAATGAACTCAATTATAATTATATACCTTTTCAAACTCCTCAACCTTTTGTATGCTGATCAGTGATCCATTTCTTTTCTTAGGGTATTTCCCTGTCTCTAGTTTAATATTAAACTGGTCCTCGTCTTCCTTGTATGCCCTCTTTAAATCAATCTCAATTTTGAATGTCTGTCCTCGTCTCAAAAACAAACCGGCAGACTCATACTTCTCTGTATGATGCACAACTTCATTGACTTCAGACAGGCCTTTGATTTTCTCAACAGGCATTCCTGGCAATGGGAATGTTACAATATATGGAAAAATTGAGATATATATATGAGATATCACTAAGCCAAATTTTATTATTCATCAAATTCCATTCACCTTTTTGTAAAAAAGCAATGTTTTGCTAATGTCAACAATGTGTGCCTTCACATATACTGTTTTCTAGACTACATTTCACATAATCATTCATAGAAAACTTCTGGTTTTTCCCCTTTGTTTCATTTTCGATGATGATTGGTTGAAAAAGAGTTAGTGTATCAAAAATACTGATGTGTACAGATTTCTATGTTGACAAGCAATTAACCCTAGAGTGACAAGCAATTAACTCTAGAATGACTTGTAGCAAAGACTAAAGGTTAAAAACAAAGTTAAACTACAAGATTTGTTATTCCAAAACGATTCAGTGTCTTTAAAGATTATCTTGGAATACCCAACAGCACGAAGCTTGCTTTAATTTTCGTACTGTCTCTGAATGCTATCACTTTTGCTCAACTCTCCCCTCAAAAAACAACATTGATAGTGAATTACGGTAAATCTCAACAAGTCAAAAGGTCGTCATAAACTGCATTGTATTATAGCCAATATTTGGATACTTTAAAACTTAATCATGTTTTCGATACTTTTGGCAATTACTTCTGTTGTAAAGATATACCCGTAGAAATAGGAGCGGATATACAAAGCAAACAGGAAAAATAACTCTCATGCGGGCGATCGCCTCACATTCTCTTTGGCAACAGGATTGTCCGCGTGCTTTCTTTGCAGCCGTGCGTGACTCGCTTTATTTCGTCTAGAGGCGAACAGTTTGAAAAAACTTCATGAAAAGAATACCTCCTCTAGACACCACTATACCCATTTGCATAAACTGTAACGCGCTGTGTTTCTTACAACTGATCAAGATGTCTCAATCTATTCCTAGGCCGTAGGAGATAGACTATATGTGTTGTTGTTTACGACTCCATTCACACATTAACGTTGCCCTCCACAACACCAGTAAACAAAATCCAGTCTATTGAAAGATTACAAATACATGAAATAAACAATAGCTTGACATACCTTGAGGTACTTCTTCCTTGTCCGTCATCTTTCTTTCAACCTGGCAAGAGATGAACACGCCTCCCTTACCTTTGGCGCCCTTCTCGAAGTCGGTTATGTTTTGTTTTCTTCTCCTCCCCAATGGGTCCCAAATGCGTTGGTATCATTGGACCAAAATTAGAGTCTTGTGTAACTCCATAAAGACGAAGTGTTAAGAGTGGGGAGGGGGTATAGAAATATGAAAATTCCCTCTCTTGTATGCATTAAGATGTGTCTTTAAGAGTTTCATTTAATATAAATCTTCAAAGCCACAATAATTATGCACTACTACAAAAACTGTAGGGGGGGGGGGCATAGATGTGATACTGTCTTTGAGGAAAGAGATCAAGTGTCACTTAAATCATAGTCAATAGAAAAAACTCTCTGGTCTGGAAGCCCATTGTTCTGTTCTTTTGTTCTCATCTAGAACTTGAAAACACTTTTATTTTAATCACGTGACCTAAGTAAGGGGACAAGATAAAACATTTTTTTCTCTCGCAATAGCAAATGCAGACAGTTTCGTGAAGCCCAGCGCACACAGGCGACCCACAAGTGTCAAAAACAATGATATTTGGGCTTTTGAGAAAGTTGCTTATTTGCACGAGTCAGATACAACGATTTTCTGCGTTTCAAAGTCTGTCTTCGCGATTAAAAATACTTACTTTCAAGAAACATTTCTCAAACGGCTCCCTGGCCCCCCGTTATCTCGGTCCTTGGTCTACCCTAGGTATCAGAGCCGCAAAAATTTAACGGAAGCAAAAAATAATGAGAGCAGGGGAGGCGAGCAGCTCTCATTATTTTTGCTGCCGTTAAATTTTTGCGGCTCTGATACCCAGGGTATCCTTGGTCCAAAATGATGATGGCAAGGGCACCTTGTTGTATGTCCTTCGTGTATACCTCTAACAATTCTTTCACAAGTTTTTTGAACACACCCTATTTTGGCGCTTCGAGCTTCAACCAGATCTGTATCAGCAACGTACTCGACTTCATCAATGTTCCACGAAGGCTTGTATTTTTGTTTCAAAACTCTTATCAGGTTTAGACAGGACATCTAGGATTGCAATGCTTAATGCCCTTACTTCGCTTGAACATACTACAAAATGTGATCTTTCCTTTTTTAATTGGTAATGGTTCTCGCCAGGCGCGTAGCGGATGTTTGACATTCAGGGAGGCTAAGCATGGATCTTCTCCGAAAATCGTTCCTTTATAGAGATGCAACTGTCCGAATGGAGCCGGAAATGTGACAATTTACTCTGAGAAGGGGAGCTGCAACTAACCCAGCCCATTTTCCCTACGCCGACATTCTCGAGAAACATTAAAAAATTACCAAAATTCTCGAGAAACATTCAAAACTCAACAACAATCCTATACACCTGTTTTAACGCGTCCCCTTACATAGATCACGTTATTGCAATCAACACGTTTCAGTTAGAACAAAGGGCTTCAAGACCAGAGTTTTTTCTATTGACTATGCTTAAATGCAACATATGGCAAAAATCTGCAAAAGACCTTATTTCATTGAAAAAGAGCAAGTTACTGTGTCAGGCACAGTTATCAGCAAGCAGCCTGTACAATAAGAAGCTCGCATTTACTATCAACCTGTGACCTACAATCACCGCCATAAGATACGACTTTAGCCACTAACGTCAAAACTAAGGGGGTTAATTGACCCATTAAGTCATCTCCTAATCGAAACAATAATGGTTTAAATAAAATAACGTTGGAGATTAGGAAGTACATGTTTTCAGGTGAAATGGAGTACATGTTTGTACGATATTTGCCTAACAGCATTGCTCTTAGGGAGGGGGTTAGAAGAAACAGTATTTAGAAAGCAATGAAAATATATAAAACAAGAATCCGGTTGATGGGAGTTCTAGGAAAAATTTGAAAATTCAGTTTCAGGAAACGTTTGGCAAAAACTTGAGTTTGTCTTAGAATTTTTTTTGACTGACTTCATTTTCACAATAATCTCTCAGTTTTCATGCAAAATCAACATCTTATACACAATAAAACTAGAAAATTTGATGTCTCAAATTCATTTTATCAATTTATTTTCAAAGTTTAGTCTAATGATATTTATAATTGTCGTTACTAATTTATTCATACATATTTAGAAATAAATGCAGAGAAAAGATAAGACAAAAAGACAAATAGATAATTTTCACTGTGATTAATTAACATAGTTACATATATTTTCATATTTAATTCAATCATAAATTAACCGCAAGGGTGATAATTACAATAACTAAACTCTATGGGTGCTTTATCAAGCTCTATTTTTGAAATTAATGGTGCTATGCACATTTATAAGCACTTTAAACATACATATATACAATTAAATAAACGTATTTTTCTTTACATCATTTGTGCCATTCGGTAGCAACTTCTACACAAACTTTCAATACCTTTTATATTATCCTTGGTATGTTCTATCTAAATCAATACTAGTCTTGAATAACTGGGATTCTGGCGTTATGAACTCTACAAGTCGATCAGTGACAAAACAGATAACTGGCTTGTTGTGTTAGGAAAGGAAAGGGTAATGAAAGGAAAACAGGAATATCATTGTTGAATTAAAACTGAAAATGTAAGAACATAACGACG